CCTTGAGGTGGGGGGTACATTGGGTATCGGGACTAGACAATAAAATAGACAAAATTTTAGCTTCTTTTTGTTTTTAACATTGTCCACCTTATCATAGATGTCTACACAAGGAATTTTTTATATGAAAGCAATAAATGCATGACAATCATTTTTGAGTTTCTCTTTGCATGAGCCAAAGTTGGAGCTTAATTGTTCAGACTCAGTTTTTATCAGTCTTATGCCTTGGTCTGTTATCTTATCTTATTATATAAAGTTGGCTAAGTTAAGTGCATGTAAAATCATTGCTCCAATTAATGGACCACGAAAAAGAATAGAATAATGCTAGTGGTACATAATTTTTGGCCATAATAGTTCACATAGCACTCACATTGGTGGTAACACTCACATGTGGTGGGGCCCACCAATGTGAGTGTTACGTGAACCCCTATGGATAAAAATTATGTACCCATAGCATCACTCAAAAGAATATAGGCACTGCTATGTAACAGCATCATTCTACAACATTGCCAGTGCAGTTCCCAAACCTTTATCCTCCTGTACTAATTTAATCCACCTATATTTTTCTACTCTCTCGCATCAATCTTAATTCTGTAAAATTTGCATCAAAGCTCTCAATTTCTTCCACTCCCTTGGCTTGATTTCAATCTTTCACTAAGGGTGCGTTTGATTGCCAATATTTTATATGAAAAATGTGTTTTTTCCACCTAATTTCTTAATTTTGTGCTGTTTGATTTACAATTTTTTCTAAGGAAAATATTTTCCTACTTTTAGTCACGTGGGCATATTTTCCATGAAAATAAGGAAAATATTCTCTTTAGGGAGATGTGGTTTTTATTTTTTAGGTAATTCACTCTATCTTTCTCTCTCTCATCTATCCCTCTACCTCATCTACCCACCAATAAAAAATTGGACAAGAATAATATTTTTTAAGTTGAAAACTATATCAATTAAACACATTTAATTAATAATTTCCATATAAATAATTTCTAGGTAATTGAATTACTAGAATTTATTTTCTTTCTGTGCAAATTTCATGCTCGCAATCAAATGCACTCTAAATGTATTTTTTTTAACAAGAAATCGCAAGATTCTAAAATTTCTTCCACTAAATGGTGCCTACTCTAAAATCGAGCTAGAGATCCTACGACTAACTATAATAATGACAGAAACCAACAACAATGAGCTTGTGGGGAAACAATCAAATATTCTAGGCAAAGCAAGAGGTCAAAAGATCACAAATTTGATAGAAAAACCTATACAAAGGCCACATTGATAATTAACTTGCATGGTTGCATGCAACCAACAGAAAATGTACGCACAAGTCTTATGCCTTGGTCTGTTATCTTATCTTATTATATAAAGTTGGCTAAGTTAAGTGCATGTAAAATCATTGCTCCAATTAATGGACCACGAAAAAGAATAGAATAATGCTAGTAGTACATAATTTTTGGCCATAATGGTTCACATAACACTCACATTGATGGTAACACTCACATGTGGTGGGGCCCACCAATGTGAGTATTATGTGAACCCCTATGGATAAAAATTATGTACCCATAACATCACTCAAAAGAATATAGGCACTACTATGTAACAGCATCATTCTACAACATTGCCAGTGCAGTTCCCAAACCTTTATCCTCCTATACTAATTTAATCCACCTATATTTTTCTACTCTCTCGCATCAATCTTAATTCTGTAAAATTTTGCATCAAAGCTCTCAATTTCTTCCACTCCCTAGGCTTGATTTCAATCTTTCACTAAGGGTGAGTTTGATTACCAATATTTTATATGAAAAATGTGTTTTTTCCACCTAATTTCCTACTTTTGTGTTGTTTGATTTACAATTTTTTCTAAGGAAAATATTTTCCCACTTTTAGTCACGTGGCCATATTTTCCTTGAAAACAGGAAAATATTCTGTGATTTTTATTTTCTAAATAATTCACTCTATCTTTCTCTCTCTCATCTATCCCTCTATCTCATCTACCCAACAATAAAAAATGGACAAGTATAATATTTTTTAAGTTGAAAACTATATCAATTAAACACATTTAATTAATAATTTCCATATAAATAATTTCTAGATAATTGAATTACCTAGAATTTATTTTCTTTCCATGCAAATTTCATGCTCGCAATCAAATGCACTCTAAATGTTTTTTTTTTAACAAGAAATCGCAAGATTCTAAAATTTCTTCCACTACATGGTGCCTACTCTAAAATCAAGCTAGAGGTCCTACAACTAACTATAATAATGACAGAAACCAACAACAATGAGCTAGTGGGGAAACAATCAAATATTCTAGGCAAAGCAAGAGGTCAAAAGATCACAAATTTGATAGAAAAACCTATACAAAGACCGCATTGATAATTAACTAGCATAGTTGCACGCAACCAACAGAAAATGTACGCACAAGTCCAGTTTATCAAACCATCAACTAATGTTTTTAGCTTGGAAAAATATATTTAAGACTCAAATGTCAAACTTCAGTTAGAAAAGCACCACAGAATTGATTCACCGAGTCTTTTTTGACAGTTCTGAATAACTTTTTTACTCTCACATCTCAAAACTATCAGGAAAATTGCAGGCACCGCTGCAAATATTTGGGGTCATTGGTACTTGAGTCCCAAGCCTTATTTCACATTGAGAAACTCACACACTTGGTACACAACTTGGTACACAACCCTCTCACATGTGTGTGGGGACCCACACACATGTGAGAGAGTTGTGTACCAAGTTATGTATTAAGTGTGTACAAGTAGTAAATTTGTTTCACATTAGGCCCCAATTTTCAATTTCCATACCAAAAGAGGCCCCTCTAAATGGTTTCCCTCCACATCATCAGTTAAATTGAATGAATTCAAATAAGGAAAAAACAAAAAGACTAAAATGAAAAAAGAATTGAAAGGAAATAAAGAAAAAATATAGCTTCCCCTACAGATCCCCTCTCTCACTCCCAACGTGTTTCAGGCATAACCAAACATGATGGATGGGCAAGAAAGGGAAGGGGGCCCGTGTAGGAAGATTTTTGTTCTTCCAATTTTTCTTGTTTTCCTTTCTTTTCTTTTCAAATTGTCCTTATTATATTTTTTTCCTTATTTGCACGTGAAAGAAAAATACTTTTCATTCAATTAAATGCTGTTTAGAACAGAAACTGTTCAAAAAGACCTTTATTTCTATGAAGTGAAGGTTGGGGAGCTAAGTAACAATAACCCCCAACCATTGGGGACTACAACTGCAAATTTTCTCAAACTAAATGTCTCTTCTGACTCGGCGTTAATTTTTGGGAAAGAAATTGCAACATTTATATTATAGGTGTCATTTCTGGGTGCACCACTATCTAGATATGTAAACATAAACTGAAAGCAGTAAAAAGGAGCTCGCAGCCAAGAGCGAAACTAGAGAGATTTTAGGGTGGGCTAAATTTTGCAATGATACATATGCAGAACAACATATCCATATATGCCCAGTTAGACGTATAGCTAAAAAGCCTAAAATGTAAGTTTTGAAATCCATTTCTGTACACGATGCACCAACATATATGGATTTTAAAAGAAACAGGTTAAGAAAATTTGATTTCAAATTTTGCGTGCTCTTGAAGCTCTAAGATTTTCTGACCCTGATGTTTGGATGCATAATTAAATAGTGAACATAGATTGTAGTTTTTTGACATCCTACAGATGTTCGGAAGCATATCAAATCAAATGGAATGAATGGACAGTTGGATAACAAGAAAGGGCAGAAACAGATATTTCCAAATTCTGAAAACCAGCCAAACATTTGGAATTGAACTGAGGCAATTTAATTGAATAACTACATATTGCTCAATCTATTGAAAATTTTGTTCGCCATTTTCTAAAGATTCAATTGAAGGAGAACCCTATTGTTACTAGAAAGTTCCAAAAGAGCTATAATGCTTCAATTCAAAAAGTAAAACCGAAAAAATATAATAAGGGCACACACACACCAGTCAATTCCATGGAAAATTTTGTTCGCCGTTTTCCTAAAGCATCAATCATTAGGAGTACCCTAGTGTTGTTATAAAGTTCCATAATAGCTATATTGCTTCAAGTCAAAAAAAATAAAATTAAATACGCATATTTGTACATACGGGTATACCTGTCACGGATTTGGAGCTGGTCAATCATGGAGGACATTCGGAGCTTATCTTCCTCGGGCAGAGAGTCCAAGTCTCCGAGCATGCTCTTGTCCATCTTCGACTGATTGTACCAGTTGCTATGCACAAGTTACTAATGCTGTAAATTCAGTTATCTAAAACCCTAATGAGCGAGCAGAAGGGTTTTGAGGACTATAATTTGACACATGAGAATGAAAATGAAAAGTCCACACCGAAGTTGGGCCCCGAGTTGGCCCAACAGGATCGGGCCATTAAGATGAAACCAGATAATTCAGGATCAAGACTATTTTACAACTGTAGGTAACTCAGGGACTAAATTGCAGAGTTAAGAAAATGCAGGGACCAATTTCAACAATCAATAAAAATCAGGGACTAAATTTCACAATCCAGAAAATTCAGGGACCATATTGTATATTTATAAAATTAAATCAGTCAGATAAATGTACCATATTGAGCAACAAAGTTTACTATTTGGATACTCAAAATTAAGCAATCACTTTGGAGGATGATTCCTTGTGCGTAGAAGTGCACAGTTGGTGATGGGAATCTAAGAACCAGTTGAGGCATATCCCGCGATTTACCTCCTCCAAAGTTCTAGAGGAAAGGGTCTTGGAGGTCTAGGATTTAGTCTGACAAAACTGGGATACATGGGTATCAAAAAAAAAAAAAAAATAGGTGCATGCATCGATCAGCGAAAGATTTGGAGTTGAAAATAAATATAGATACGAGATTCTCAACTAAGACAGTCAGTTACGCTCGGTTACACAAAAATACTCTTATCTCCACATTCAATTAAGAACAGGGTCAAAAAAAAGATTGAGACAATTAATCTATGATCTATTAACAAAAAAAAGAGATTTTATATTCTTGACAAAATATCATCTAGGGCTAGAACAATACTATGATAACACTCCCACACACGTGTCCTATCCTTATCCCTAGCTGCATAATCCAATCTAGTAACACTGTTGAACAAATCAGAATACAGTTTCCTGAGAGGAGGCCTCTCTTTCCCTGGCTTTGCTTGAATAATTGTATAAATATCCTGTTTAAGCAATGAAGAGCTTTTCCTCAGATTCTTCTGGGCTTCTTTGTATGATTCTTCTAATAACAAATCCTTCACTTGTAGCAGATTCTGTGCGTGGGTTTTGATTCCAGTTTCTGCTTCCTCAAGAGATTGGTCTGGGACTGTCATTCTGAAATCAATGGCATTTGCAGTGTCTTGTTTTTGTGTGGTTAGGACAAGTGTTAAGGATGTTATTATAATGTTTAAGGTTTTTCTTCTGGTGGCGAGGGCCATTTTGGGGGGTTTTCTTGCAGTTCTAATGGGCTGGTGGTTTTTGAAGAGATGATGGATTGGTTGGTTCAGCAAAAGTATAGATGCCATATTACAAATGTGGGGGTGGTGCGTGGGGTGGGGTTTTGTGTAGATTTTGAGAGATGAAAGAACCCTATCTATGCGACAAAGAAACCCATATTACAAACCTGCCAAACACTAATGAATTGGACTCATTAGAATGCAGTGTTGGACAAGATTAAAAGTTAAAATATACATGTTTAGTAAGGTTGATATGGATAGACTACATTGAATAAATAATGAAAAATAAAATCTTTTAAGCTACGTAGAGGACTAGTTCAAAATATTATATATAAACTTGATACAACAACGAGATTATCTTATACTGGGTACAAAACATGCCTATCCCAACTCTGAATATTTCTTAAAGATTCTGCTGCTTCAATGGTTTGTTCTAGGACTCATTCTGAAATCAAAGGCATTTGCTGTGTGGGGGATTGAAAGACTAATGCTATTCATCCAATGGTCAATCGTCTTGGTGTGAATTACTAGGTTGAACATCAAAAATGGATCCATATCTTTACAATTAAGAGATCCACCCCTTGTTTGAGGATGTTAGAATGTTCAATATTTTTCTTCTCACTTAATCCGAAGTGGACAACTCTGACATTTATCAGTAATCGACGAAGTACCTTACTAGAAATAAAAGGTGTTAGGATGTTTAAGGTTTTTCTTCTTACTAAATTTGAAAAAAACTATGACATTTACCAAAAACCTACAAAATATCTCACTCGAAGTAGAGTGACGAGAACTCGAGAAAATTTATGAATCTATTTGTTCTTCAACTCCTCGTTCTTTAAATAGTGGTTTTTGGGGAAAACGTGTGACTAAAAAATAAGAAAATTTTGAGTTTACATGTATGATATTTTATGATTGAAAATGAATATGTAGAAAAAAACCTTTAAAATAATGGAAAACAAACATCAGTTAAATCGGTTATCATTGTTATAGGCCTGATGTATGTACCCTCAAGTTTGTATTTTATTTATATTTTCGTTCCCTTTAATAAATACTCTACATTTTGATTTTCTCTTTTTGTAAAAAAAAAGAGGGAATTTAACATTTGCAAGCCAAACCTTCATAGTTTCAACTCTCAACCATTTTGGACATTGAAAGAGCTAAAACAGCATACTTGCTTATACACCATGTAACTACATGGATATAGCATACACCATGTAACTACATGGATATAGCCAAGAACAACCTTCTACATTTCCGAAACAAAATTGCCTGCTGGAAAAAAAAAAAAAAAAGTGTTTCTTTAATACTATGCTATAATATAATATGTAACTTGTTATGGTGGAGTCAATAGGATTTCCTTTTACAATCACATGAACAGAAGCTTATACCAATAATTATTATCTTTTTAACAAAAATTAACCAAAATCATGAGAAGAAAATGGTAAACAAAGATCAAACGAGAAGGATTCAAAGAATGAGCAGACAAAAGTTACTATTCTGCGAAGATCTGTCTACGCTGAATTGGTTTGGTCTTCAAACCAGCTACTTTGCCAACCACAGCCTCGTCAACTAAATCTTTGAAGATTAAGCGCTCAATATCCAGGACGATACCTGAAATTTCACCATTGAAATGTATCCAGGTTTCTGATCGATGCATCAAATCTTCGTGTAAGATTTTTTTCAGTCCTCCTTCCTCATCATCGAAGCTGCGTTTTGAAGTTTCCATTTGAAGTTCTTCAAACTCAGAGCACAATTCCTTGAGAAGCTTTTGTGCATTCAAGTCCTTCCTTGCCAGCTTATTCGGTCTCAACCAAGGCTCAGATAAGGGTCCGATAAAAGCTAATTTTCTAGTAAGAATCTCGTTTACAACATCAAAGAAGAGTTTCCGATGAGATCTCTCCTTGGTAAGCAGTTGAGTTGTCTTCTCAGTACTAAACTCTTCCTTGCGTAAACTGCTAGCCTTAGTTTGTTCCAAGACCAGAAATAACTCAGGATTGATAGGATGTCCAGACGGATGAAAATGGAAAGTTGTCAGGCTCGAGCCGAGGTCTCTAAGGAGGAGACCTGAAGCTAATAAAATCTCGGAAATATATCTGTGGTTGGGGTTCGTGTTCTCACAGAGAGAGGCAATATAATCTGTATGTGCTTCATCGTGGCTCGAGTTCAGCCTTCTAAGCTTCTGAACTAAGTTTTCGATGCTCTGTAGTTTCTTTCCATTAATTTCAGATGTATTACCAGATCTCCTGGAGTTCAGTATGAAATCATCCGCTGAAATGCCTTCCACCGTGTTTAAAATTCTATCCGAGTTGATGGATTCATCTCCTGAGAAGTAAATGCTATAGAATTTCAGCAGTATAATGGAAAGAAATTGAACAGATGATGATAAAAATGAAGATAGAATATCCCATATATTTTCCACTCTTCAAAAGGAAAAGGGAACAAGGAAAACTCCACATCAATTTTAGCCGCAATTTTACATAGCTAGCCATGGAAGAGCATATCATCTTGTAGGAGTAAGACTGCATATGTTCCAAAATCTTGTAGGAGTAGAACTTTTATCAGACCGTTGGAGTGATATGATGCAATAATTGGATTTACTGCTTTGTACATAAATCTCATGATTGTACTAATTTAATCAGCCCCAATTATTTTATAGCTTAATTCTTAAAGCTATATTCACACGAAATGCTCGTCCATGATGTTTACCATTCAGAAATAAAAAAGAGGGTTATCCTCAACGTTCTAAGGGAAGAAAAACCACAAGCACGAAACACATAAAGATGTTGAACTATTACATATACCATGGAAACCCGTTTACACAATTTGAGTTTAATAATCACCAGAGGAGAGCATTACCCTTGAGGGTCTTTCCAACGTGCTTTACTGGTGAAGGTGAATTATCTGTATATTCATTGTTGTCAAGAACAGAGACAGGGCTGGGGTACTCAAGAGGAGCACGAGCCTCTGCCTGTTCTTTTTCACTCACCATCCGGTTGAGTTTCTGGAATAAACCATGAAACGTGTTAGCAATTGACTAAGGGACCAAATTATATATACACACATATGTAATCTAGAAAGCATAAACCTTCTCTACTGATCCAGATATCAAGAACTCGGCAGACTTCATTATCTCAGGAGAATTTTCATCAAAACTAGTTACTTCCACATTTTTTGAGCCTAATATGAAACCCCCATTGGAATGAACAGAAAATTCATTCTTCTGGAAATTCAAATATCTCGATTTGCTGCCGCCTTCACTCAGTCTGTCATTGCTTTGATGTGAGTTGGGATGCTTTGCCCTGCGTAAGCCACCTGGGGAGCTCACCTCTTCTTGTTGTTTGTTTGATTGTCTTCTTGATTTGATTGAATCAGGAGGTGTGGGTGGCTTGTATCTCTTTTCCAGCTCTAGTTTCTTCTGTTGCATTCTTGGGCTAATGGATTCTGAACTCTTTCTGATCCCCGGGGTGCTTTCTTTGTGTAACTCTTGGGTTCTTTCTGAAATATGTGCAGTTTTTAAATTTCCGTTGTCTGTTCTCATATTGACAGCGTTCACAGAATTTTCTCTGTTTCTTTCTCTCAAAATCTGATCTTTAGCAGCTCTTCTGCTACTTAAACCCTTTCTGTTATCAATGAACTCACCACCTTGAAGTTTGGATAGACCAGAAAAGCCATCAAGTGAAATTACAGAAGAATCGGGCTCAACGAGTTTTGCTGGTTTCATGATTATAATTGGAGATTCAAAATGTCTCAGAGAATCGGCCCTCTTTTGGGAGGATGCAAGAACTAGATTAGTTTGAAGCTTTTGGTTATTTACTATTCTTTCATCAAGTCTGGAACTTGCATACCTTTGCTCATGGTCATTTGCACATGTCACATTATAATCTTGTCCTTCATTTTGGAATTCTAAGAGTCCCTTGGCTCGCATAGCTTCCAGTATCTGTTTAAGTGCTCTAAGGTCCTTTGCAGAATGTGCAAATTCGAGATCTTTCAATCTCTTTTCTATCTCACTGTAAACAGAAGGAAAGGTGTTTGGCACCTTGGCTGAACCTCGCGTACTTCTAGAGGCTTGTTTCCAAGAAAGTCTAGTCATATCAATTTGCTTCTTTGGTGCCGATTCAATGGAAAATTGGGATATATGTCTCGTCATGGAATCAGGATTTCTCCCACGAGGTGAACTAGGCTCTTTCCATAACTTTGAGGAACTAGACAGTTGGATTGGATTCGATGAATCTGTTTCCGCAGATGACCTCGAAAAGTTAACAAATTCTTCCACCGGATAAGTTCTCCCAGAGCTCGAGTTGGTATCGCCAGCTACAACAGAATCAGGCAGGTTCTCTAAACCCATCAGCTTTGCTACAACGCTTGTCGGCCGTGCCTGATTTCCTGATGTTTGTTGCAGACTCTGAACCTTACCATTAAACTCACCACTATCCTTGTGCGACGTTTTGGCATGAAAGATGGATTTCGAATTAGCATTTGAATTCCACATTGAACCCGCTCTACTGTCTAATGAAAGTCTTGCAAGATCTTTAAGCTTTTGGGTAGAATTGGAAAAGTCCCGTGATTCAAAGGGTATGTAGCTTATTTCCCTTCCATCATAAGAAAATCTACGGGCATCTTTTGAAATTGAGAACAAAGAACTGTCTTTTGAGTGGTAGGATGATGATCTTAAAAGTTCTCTCGGTTCATTATGATACCAAGGCGCTTCTCGAAATTTAGCTGAGTCCTGAGAACCATCCATAATTCTTGGCATTTGCCTTGGGAAATCCTTGAACTTCACCGTAAGATCTGGTGCCTCCTCTATGGTTTTGGCTTTAACTGATAAACCCTGAACTTCATTGTACATAGAGTCCTTCACGACATCCGGAAGATCAAGGGCTTGTCGACTATATTGTGGAGATGAATTTAGCACGTTCATTGCTGGATTTCTTGAAGGAGTTTCAGGAAAAATCATGCGGTCAAAGGACATAGGTTCTAATTGATTAGTTCGGTTAAAGTCAGGAGAAGAGAAAGAAGATGAACGTGAGGATGAGAATGAGGCCCTGGACAATTCTGTGGAGACTCTTTGTCTCTCTTGTATGTTATTATTGGAAAACTTTTCCTGCCATATCCAATGGCAAAAAGTCAAATTCTCAACAGATAAATACATCACAAAACTTCACAGGTAAATTCAAAGTGCATTTGGATAAGTTTTAAAAACAGTCGAAATCACAAACTCATCTAAAAAGCTTAAGCAAACTAAGAGGATTGCAATTTATTTACATCTTCAACACATTCCCATTGTGAAGGTCTTCCGCGTAGAGAACATACCATTACCAACTTACACAAGCAATTTCACCTAACACAATATTTTTTGGTCATGGTTTCCGAAACCCCGTAGATTTTACCCCTTTCACTAAAATTTCAAACTTGTTAACTTTTTCTTCAAACTGATCTTTATATTCAAACAGAAAAATAGCACTATGAAACTGTTGATCACTCCATGAAAGAAAATGTAACATCAATGGGGTGAAGCTATATGAAGGTAATCTAGATAATTTTTGTTCTGTAAAGTGCTGTTTTCATATTTCGGTAGGACATTATGGTAAGGGTATTAAGAGCAGCTAGTGGGGGGCCGAAAAGCTTATGTATTTCAGGACTTAGATATCTTGGCAGTATGGACAAAAATTATAAAAATTTTAGTCATGTTGACTGGGTTATAAAGACTCTTGTTTCCACAAATTAACATTTTCATTAGAGTCCTTAAAGCAAGGAATTAAATGGATTCACAGGACTGATGTTTCCACGAAAAAAACTCGAAATAAACATTTCTTACCACTGGTGCAGATCTTCGTTCTGCAGTATTAGACTCTGTTTCCAAAGTGTCATTATGGAAGTGGGAATTTCCTGCAAAATGTCAGCAACATTTGATCCTGAGATTCTTATTAGGCCATGAAAAGCAGGGATATTAAGGTTCAAAAAAATAAATAAATAAATTAGCAAGTTCATCAGGACATGGACATTATATTTGCAAGCATATAATAAATAATAAATAAAGGTCAAAACAAAATAAATATACTGGACATATCTTTTCAGCCAAGAAATGGCCCAAAATTGCACCACATGGGCAATCATAGAAATGAGAGTTATTTATGAAGAGAGTAAACACAATGCATCATGCTCGTATGGCTTATACTATATGATGAACTTAAAAGGTTTGCATAAAATATGTTGAACCAGATGAAACGTGTATATTTATTTAAAATTAATCTTCAATGAATTCATTTTGAAGAATCAACACAAACTTAGTAAAATTAGTAAACAGTCTATAGCATCTCTAAGAAACACATTAAAATGAAACATTCATCACCTAGATTATTGATCAAGCAATACTAAGCAATGAGTATGAGAAATATTTACCAGGAGGCAACCTCTTCGAGCTGTGGCCAACGATGCGCCTCCCAGTAAGAATAGGCTGACGATCGAACAGTTGAAAGATGCCTGTCATACACCCTATTTGCTTTTGCAAATCTGGATTATCGTCTGTCAAAGAATGTAAAATCTTTGCAGCCATTATCCGAATACACTGCTCTTTTCTTCAATAATTCTATGATCACCCTTTCAAACTATACACTATGAAAAATCCAATTACTAAAGCAAATGTACAAAATCCTTTCAACAGCCCTCATATGCAAAGAAAATGAAACAATCCAGGTTCTGGTAATCTTATTTCAAGCATTTCAAGCAGCAAAATTGACAGAATCTCTCCCCTTTCCGTATTTACATAATTCACCACAAATTTCCCCTTAATACACCCCCTTTTAGCTAAATATAATTACAGGGCCAGAATCAATTAGTTCAAAATCTTCTCAATACCCACCACATCAGGATTCCAGTTTTACAGTAGAGACCACCAGAATCACCTAGATTAAAATAAAACACGAAAGCCCAGAACACAAAATCAATTTTCCTGAGTAAACAAGAAAGCCTAGAAAAAAAAAGAGTAAACAGGAGGAAAACCCAAAACCAATATTAATACCTTTGAGTAGGAAACCAATGAGAACTAAAACAACAAGAGGAAAGACCCAAAAGAACACACAAGTAAGACACTGAATCAATCAAGAAATTGTAAATAATGCATATCAGCAAAGTGCATCCTTACAAACATAAAAAAATAAGGTTTTTTAACCAATGAATTTCTTAAACAGAAAGCCAGCCCACAAGAGCTTGCAAGGTTGGGGGTCAATCAAATATGTCTTACGTTACATTAATTTTTTCTTTCTTCGTTTCAACCACGTACTCATCAAATAAAATAATATTACACACAAACTTAAAATTTTTCACTACTTTTCTACCACGTATTCTCTCATCAATCATCATCAATCACTGTTCCAAAGATTTTAACACTCCAAAACGGAGGCCAAAACTGGGCATAGTTTATTGTTCCCAAATGAATAGGAGATGGAGCCAGTGGGGTGGAGGTGGGGGTGAGGGGGGCCAGGTCCTCTGCAGGCCCATTCTCACACCTCCATGTGGGATGGTTATCTGAGTGGGTCTTAACCTTCTGCATTAACATGTGAATTATGTCAGAGGATATCCTTTGGGAGGGAGAGCTTCAGAGACCACTGAAGTATTTTGTAGACCATTTTAATTAGAGTAATTAATTCAATTTTGACAAATTTGCATAATTAGTCCTCAACATTCAGTGAATGTAGCAATTTTATCCCTGATGTCTAGATATGAACAGTAATTTCTCAGGTTTTCAATTTGGTTGCAGGATTAGTCATTTTCAGTGGAAACTGCAAAATTTTTTGTTACAAACCATTTTTTATTTCCCCTTCTGGCAAGTGAAAGAAAAACAATTAAATTTTTAGCGACCACGTTAATAGAGATGACAATTCCCCCCCTCCCCCCGTGGGGCCCCGCCCCGAACGGGTTGGCGAGGAACCCCGCCCCGTCTCGGGTCGCGGGGTGGAGATGCCCTGCCCCGAGAAGAATTAAAAAAAAAAATTTTTGGACATTTTTTTTATTTCGAGTGCTTGCTTTGAATATTGATATAGTTAGTTTAAACATTGTTTGCTTTAGATTTTAAAATTTTGAGTTTGTATTTTAACTGGAAATAAATAAAAAAAACTAACAAATGGAGCAGGCCACCGCCCGACCCGACCCGACCCGTTGCCATCACTACACGTTAACATCTTTATTTGAGGCTACTATGTAAAGCCATTTTAAAAAAAAAAAAAAATGAGAAAGAAACGTGACAAATAACTAACCAAACGCGTTTGAAAATTAATTAAAATACACAATTCCTTCACGATTGAATGCTTCCATTTGAATTAATATGAAGTTTGGATTCAAAGTTAAAGTGTAAGCATCTATATAAATAAGAATATCCGTTAAAGCTCAATTGAGTACAATATAGTTTGCATATAAATTTTTTGAATACATAATATAAATACATAAATAAATTTTATTTCTTTATCAATTTAAACTTATTCCCTTCTTGGTTTAGCATAGCCTCTGTTTCTGTAAAATTATCGGTAACTTTTAAAAGGAATAATAGTAATTCCATGAAATGTGTGAATAATAAATATGTAGTAATATGAATGAGTTAATGAAATTAATGCTTAACAGAAAAAGGGACAAATTATTTGTTTTATTACAGAGGTCATACATTATCTTGTTGCAATATGTACATAATTTTCCGTCTTTTATGAATGTTTAGCCGAGAAGAGTAAATAGTACACGATAATATTTTCAAAAAAAAAAAAAGAAAAAAATGTCAACATGCGCATCTTTTCAATCTTGTCAACAATAACCTTATGCAAAAAAGTTATAATGTTCGGTATTTATTTGAACCAAGCATGTACTTAGTGTACTAATCCAATGTATTTTATCGAATTATATTGGTAATATTTTTATTGAAGAATATAATGTGAAAAGTATATAATGTTATGTTACAACTATTACACATATATTAATACTGGGGATTCAACTAAAATCTAATCTCAATAAATTTTGAGATGAATGCTTTGAGAATTACCATCTTTCTTCCTTGATTTTTCCTTCTACCTAATTTAGCATATCTTTTGGTGAATTTAGTTGGCCATATATTCTATATAATAAACCTAGCAAAATTGTATTATATGCTCTTGAATTCTCTTATATTGTTTTTAAAGCTTTTTGGGGTATTTCTAGATAGGGGTGGACAAAATGATCAAATCAGAACCGAATCAAGCAGAACGGTTCAGTCTGATTCTACAAAAAAAAATTAATGGATCTGTTTCTTTGAATTGAGAACTATTTGGTCCGATTCTATTCTATTCTAGTTTTAGAACGAAGAATCAAACTCAATATTTAAATTTTCGCGCGCGCGCGTACACACACATATTACAAATTAGACAATTCACATCAAAAATGTAAAATTCAATTGAAAATCATGACAAAAAAAATCATATATTTTCAATTTCTCATTTCTCAATGTGAAGACTAGATATCCTAATTCATTTTAAAGACTCGAACCCTAATTCATTTCTCATTTTCTCTCATTTTCAATTTATACACCGTCTCTCACATAGAGATCAACAACAATTGTATGCCATTTACCATCGCGCTCAATCACTACCATAACATGGATTTCTGAAATTGAAGCCTCAATCTTTGATTCTTCTTCCTCAAATGTTCTTTTTCTTTTTTTCTCAATCGGTAATAAAAGTTCGGTTTTGGTTTGGTTCCATCATCAAGAAAATCATTAGTTTATGATTCGATTCGGTTCTCTTAAAATCAAATTCTAATAGAACAATTTCCACCCCTATTTCTAGAGAAATAGCTCATCCCTTAAAAATACAATGTCCACCCCTGTTGGAATGATGATCGCCTCTAAATTCATTGAGGTGCAGGGAATCCCATAATAAATAGGATAAAAGTTAGTTATTATTACAGTATAAACTTTTTTTCCTCGTAGAATTTTACTTTTCTTTCTTTACGCGATTTTAGTTTTCTTTCCTTATATTGGTAAAATTAGGAAATTATTTTGTGCTAGTAATACGTACCCGCACGACGATGATCGAAAAATTGCAAAATTATCACTTAAAATCAGAATTTTGACCGTTTATATGACAATTTTTTAACCGTTTCACTATGAGTTGGGACCCACATGAGAGAGGCTTGGTCAACAAAGACGGCTGGAATTGGCCAGACAACGATCACAAAATCAATTACTAGCTCCTCCAAACAACTCCTTAGTTATAACTAATTGATTTTCGAGTTTTTAAATTTTTTTGGTTTCAAGAATTTTAATTCCACCTCACACCACAAAGTTTCTTATCATAGTCAAATGCGAGGTAAAGATCATTATGCCAATTATGAAAGATTCTTTCCTACTCAAAGCAATATTCATTAGTTTTGTATCAACATTCTAACAATTATGTATATGTAATCGTATTACGATAATATATCACGTGGAATCTCATTAAGCCAGCAGAAACCATGCTGTCAAATTATCCATAATCCAATGCTCCTTATTGTATCATTTTTAGTCCTTCTAGTTTCTAAAGCCGCTAACCCCAATCCCCACCCAAAATCTAGAGATGTCAAAAAGGGTACGTCGTTTGCTCTGATTGACCCCATGAAATTAAAATAATAATCTAAAAAACAAAATAAAATAAAAATACTAGGTTCGATTATTCATCCATATCAGACATGAACCATGTCAGAACTCGTCCTTTTTTCTTAACTCGAGTCATCAAAAACACGAGCCAAACAAACTTTTTACAAAAATAAATTGACTCGATCCTTTTAATAGTTACACTCCGAATGGCCATTTAAATACATCGAGTTGGGGCCATTCAATACATTGAGTTGGATAAATAGAGACTAATTACCAAATTACTTAAATTGTCAACATCTTATCAGTGCCACATAGCAATTTATACTAAAATAGAGATTCATCACCACATGCATAGACGCGATGATATTGGAAAAATTGCATTCTTGGTCACCAACCTATTATTCTAATAAATTGGGTTTACGTGTAATATTATTTTATCGAAGAATGCGTTATTAAAATGAGGTCAAAACACTGTTCAAGAATGTATTATTATTTTATTTTTTTTCAAAAAATGGGACTCAAACAAGGGCACAGTAAGTTGATCCTTGGTCTTTATAAATAACAACTTTGTCTCCAATTTATCATTATAATTCAAAAATCAATCTCTAACTATTTAAATTATCCAAATTTCTGTTAAATCTTCGTATGTCTAACTTTATTCTGCTTTGAACAAAGGCCACGCTCAATAATTTGAAGTGCTATATGTTTTCACCTAGATTGCATGATGATATAACGAAGTATTCATCACATAATTTTCATCATTGGATATTGATTTTTGTAACCAACTTGCTCCTTAACAATCGACGATCAACTTAAGTGAGAAGCAATAGTTATTTTTTCGTAAATTTTTAGGCAATAAAAACTAACCCGACATAATGACGAGTGCCCTAGGCAGCTACTTTCTAGCAAGGAAAAAATCGAAATATAAAGGGACACATCACATGCATGATTGTTGGAATCAACCATGGTTTATTCCTAATGTTGTACAATCATGATACTTAAGAAAAATGGAAAAGCATCGATGAATTAAAGAAAGAGTATTCTTACGTATTACATCCAAAAATTATGCCGATTCACCTGGGTGTCATGTCTGTCATCTAAGGGAGTCCAATCACAAGCCCACTTGTCATGGACTGAACATTCAAGCCTCGATCTTCAAGGTTTGCCTGAACAAAGGAGTGTGTAGAACTTCAACACGACTTTAGAAACCTCGAACAGCCTCAGAGGCAAACGAGACTCAGCGCAGTGTAAATTCCGATAAACCAACATTGATGTTATTGCACCATGCTGTTGCGTCAAAGCAAAATGCTCTTGAACAAATATCGCGAAAATGCGAATATTAATAAGCTTTGAAAATGAGAACTCACTCATGATTTCCAACAAAATAATGAAAAATGTCAAATTATATATAAAAAAATGATTAAAACGCCTTTATAAATATTTTTATAGACCATTGCACAATTCTAATGGGGGAAATTTCATAGGAAAATCTGATGAAATTAAGAGATAAACTACCTATTTACTTGTGTTTCATATCTTTACAAAAAATTGGATCCATCATTAATAATAATGTAATATCACTTATATCGATGATAAACATCCTAAATAAGATTTTTTAATATATTTTTACACTTTCACTATGAAATATTTTCTACATTTCGAGTCCAACCTTTCATACAAAGAGAATCCTAAGCTCTAGTAGGTTCCTTGGTCTACCAATTTGGAGTGCTCCTATTTCGAAACATGAACAGTGTATTTTGGGAGACGAGTGTCGAAAAATCGTTGCACCTGTGTGGGGCATTATCCTCTTAAAAGATAAAGGGTTGAACTCTTATCTCAACCAAAATCTCATTTTCTACGTTTCTTCCTTCTATATTTTTTTGGATTCAGTTAGTCCAACCTCTATCCAATTTTTTGTACGTATAATATTAATTGTTGGAATATAATTCACGTACCAATTTTTCCAACATGTTTCACCTCTATCATCAAGAAAATGATTTGTAGAGTGATGACAAAAAATATGATAGTCATATTATATCTCGTCAGAGAGCGATGCGTTTTTTGTTTCTAAAAGTGACACATGAAACATGGTCACAGAAGGACCAAATAGTTGTATCGTGGATAATCATATAACACCATTTCTTTAGAGATTCTTTGATATTTTTTAAAGTCTTAAAATCAATTATAAGGGTGGTTATCACTCATTATAGAGCCATCAGATTAGCCAAGTTGGGATATAAAATGCAAATGAACAACTATTTGCCAGATCTATATAATCATACCATATCTACACTACATGTGACAAGTTGATGGGAAGTAGTCACTTCATATTTCATTTGAATGATTTGGATGGAGTTTGAGGAAGTTCAAATATTTCACTAGAAAAGTCGAACAACATTTGCAAAGCGAAAAGTATGAGACGAAAGAGGCAATACGAATACGCAAAATTTATTTAGATGAAAGATTGAGGGCTCCAAATGTAACGATATTTGTTAATCACATTTATTTGTGATTGAATGTAGTTCTTGAAAGAAAAGGCAAGTTAATTGATAATGATAACTTCCATGTTAAAGGGCATATAATTTGCTATTTAAAGAGTGATGTAATTGGTTGAAAGGCACATGCAACCATATGGTTTGTATCTTATAAATGCCAAAATTGTCCTAGGCATTGATAATGTGTGTATTCCACNTCATAATTTAGCGACATGCAGGAAGATTTTGCTTGAGAACATCAATCTTGAAATTGAACCACTTACTTGAGCTTTAGATTAATTGAATCTCTCATATGAGCTTTTGGGACTATGAATCTAAAATCTTAAGAGTTTCATTATTATTTTTATTATCTATAAACAATGTGAAATTTCACTTATAAAATAATTTTACACGTATATCAAAAAAAATGATGACATGTGGCATATAACTAGTTGGAATGAGGATGGCCTTCTTATCCCATTTTCTCATGTATCCTACATAAATAAAAGAGTCGCTTTGATTAAAAATTTGTTGAAAATGTTGAAATGCGGCCATGATAAATATATGATCTATAAATTTTAAATATCAAAAATAAATTTTACATTAATTGTGAAACGTGAAGTCGTGATTGTTTATATTTCTTTTCAATCTCAAACTCATTTCAATGTCCTTTTTTGGAACTTTATTTCCCTATAATTTTTCGTTTGATTCGATATTTCACAATATGAATATCCATTTGGATCAATTTAATTTTTTTTAAAAAAACTTAAAATGTGATAATAATAAATATATTGTCAATTAAGTTTAAATATAAAAATTATCTTAAATTATTAAATGTAAAATCATAATCGTTAATTTTTCTTTTCTACCCCACCCTCAACCCTTATGCTCACACTAATTTCTCTCAATATTATTTTTCTTCAATTTTTACAGTTAAAAAGGGTAAATTTATGGCGTTAAAATGGATACTGAAGGAATTCAATGATTTTCAAAAGAATCATCCTACATCATGCAGTGCTGATAGACAAACATCTTCTATGAAGTTGATTAATTTGATTTTTTAAAAAATTTAATTCAATGTACATTATCATTAGAACATGTTGAAAAAATATTCGACGGAATTTATGAAGTTGGATAATCGTTTGTCGTTCTTTTTGCCTCTATGATAGAAGTTTTCGTTGTATTGTGGTTTTAATACTGATAGTGACACTTGATTTGTCCTAAATTCTGCACTGTATTATCATTAATTAAGTAGTCTTGACTACATATAGCTTGCATATAGTTTTGGTAAAAAAAATTAAATATTGGTGCAGCTGATACATGTAATTGGAGATTCTATGAATACGAGATGAAGGAGACATAATGTCTTACTTCAATAAGTAGAAAAAGGAGGGTTATGTTGAACTTCATTGTTTCTTTAGCAGAGCATAAACACTTAATCATCTATACCCAGTCTTTTTTTAAAAAGAATAGAGAGACATTCAAACGCAAAATTTAGAAAATAAGTTTTGAATCAAATCTCTTAATATTAATTTTGTCATCTATCGTCAATTCAAGTGTTTTAAATTTAATGTAACTAATGTTTAAGACAATTTTTTTTTTTTTTTTTTATATTTACGCTATCATATAGCCAACTATATTATGAATGCACGTGCGTCTTACTAGTATCTACGAAAGAGTTGTTGTCCATATTTTTAATAAATAAATTTAAAATGTTACAAAAATATTTACACCTTGTATGATGCACATTATTCTCCCAATAATGCATTTTAAAATAGTGATTTGATAGAAAATATGTGATTAAAAATAAAGAAAATTTTTGAATTTGCGTGTAAAAGTATTTTATTGAAGAATGTGTAATTGAAAATAAGAGAGAAAAATGTATTTTTAGAAGAATGAGTATCAAGCATGGTGTTAATATACTGCAATCATTTTATTATTTTGCAATTAAAAAAATTAAATGCTATAAATAATTTTTATTTATTTATTTATTTTATCTTGGAAAACAAGGTAGATTAAGGAATAACATTTGATATCATAATCTATAATATATTAAATATCAAATCAAGTTAGAATCATTTTCTGGACGATTTTAGTCATACTACAATTTAATTATTTCAATAATACCTTACTTTTTTCTTTTTGAATATATATTTATTTGAATATTAATTATTAAACATGCA